AAAACCATTTTAAAGTCCGTGTTACAAGCTTTAAATCATGGGCATCATAACATCCGAACAGTTTCCGAATTTGTCGAGCATTTAAATGGCATTAAAAGCATTTCTGTACCGTCTACTTTGAACAGTGTATAGATTATGACATGAATTTGCCTTTTGTATTCGATTTTGATTCATTAACGCATAATATTTGTATTCCGATTTAACTACACGGCTTTATACTGTCATTATATTATTCCACTAATTTGTATTATTGTTAGGAATTCGAATAAAGTCCGAACGAATCGTATTTGCTCGCTGCTAGTGTTTATCGGTATTAGGACGTCCCCTCCCCCCACTACTGAATCAATATATATTTTTCGTACAATTAGTAATAGATTGGAAAATAGGTCTTTTGGTTTTAACTGAAATATATGATCATCTATCGATTATCATCATTCACGTTATTGATTTATTACCCAATTTAATGGTTGATAAACCAAAGTTATGTAAAACTATTATTGAGTTATATTTATGCATTATTTAACAATTTGTATAATTATCTAATGAAAAATCTCGCGTACATTACATTTATTTATTAGTATTTATAAATTGTTTATTATTTGATATTGCTCATTATTTTTACTTTAAATTGTTTTGTCTGTGTGTGGGGAATTGTCCGCTTTTTGGTTGGAAACGTATAATGCATCAGAGGGGGGGGGGGAGAAAATTCCTAGATTCGTATTTATCTGTAGGCACAACATTGACATTGCAGGTATGATAAAATAGAATTTGAAAAAGTGTACTTTTTTTCGGGTTCGTACTTGGATAAAAATTGTATACCATGTCCAAAATGATGAGAACTGGCCGGAAAACGAAGAAAATAATATGACCTGCTAACGCAATGCTCGGACCGGGTGACCAACTATACAGTTCAATATTCGATGTCTAATATCGCTCAGGATCACTCAAATAATATTCAGCTATCTATATTCTAACATTTCGTATTGGTACTGTTGTGATGGATTTATTATCGTTACACACACTATACAATATAATTAGTTTAACTTGTGTGCACAGTATAACGAAGAGTAAAAGCCATTAAAACGTTGATTGGAGCAGATTATAGAAGCCATTCAACCACCGTATTGTATTTAAATATTACTCAGTTATGTAAGAAGAAAAAAATTGTAAAAAATGTATTGTTTGCGTCTGTGCTTGAAAAAAAAATCAAATCATCAGATGATTTGTATGCGTAGTAAGATGTATTTATATGTTGGCGAAGAATGACGAACGTTATTTTAACAAGCTCATCATCTTATAATACATAATGTCTGCAAGCTCGGGGGTCTCTTAAAATATACTATGCGTCTATACGTCTATGTATATAATACTACTCATATTATAATATAATATTATTACTCGGCTATTATTATATGATTATTATTTCAATATGATGTACCTTTTATCATTATATATTATAATATCATAATCGTCAGTATAAGAGTCTCTCGGTGCAGCGTGGTTCTTAACGTGATCCTACTTCGGAATCGTCTGCGCGTATATTACAATATGCATGCGAATAAAACGCACTATTATTGTTCATAATATTTATTCGAAACACAAAATCATATAATAACGAAAATCATTTTCCCTATAGAGACACTTCAAAACTACTGCCACTACAACTACTGCAACTACCGCAACTACCAATACCTACCGCTCTTACCGCTCTACCAACTACCTGTGTACCAAAAACCACTGGTGCCAGTACAATTACTACAACCACTACTCCATACCACTACTACTCTATACAACCAGCCGGTATATATTATTATATTGGCTCTCGCACGCCGCACATACACAATAATAATATGACTGTAGTGTTATGCGTAATACATCTGCATCCGAGTTAAGAATAAGAAGCTCGTTTAGTACATGTCTATCTGGTGCTGTTATTACCGCGACCTCGGTTATGGATGACTGGTATTAGCGTATAGACTATGGGTACCTACTAAACGCCGGGTGTTTAACCATATAAACACATACTTGTGGGTCTATGTGTGTGTCTGTGCTCGTGTGCAGATATATATATACTTATGTTTAAAGATTATGTGAGTGTGTGTTTAAAGTGCGTATAACAAGTGTGCAGTGCTGAGGAGGCGATGTGGTATTCACCGCATCGAGTATATAATATAGATAATTTTACTGTATTTTATAGCGTTGTTCGCCGAACTCAGTCCTCGCCGAACCCGTCTAGTGATCGAATTAGGATTTTTCACACGTTTAATGTAACAGTAATCTTACGACACGAACTATGATCGTAAGTCTCGATCGGAGGATTGACAATTTTATCGCATAGGCGCAAAAATAGCGTTTACAATATTGTTCGACTATAATAAGAGACTTCTTTAGTTTGGTCCGATATATTATCGTAGAAGTAACAAGAACTTACTAGAAAATGTGTTCGCTCCAATCAAATTGAGATTACTACAATATTTTTTTTTTATTTTTTTGTTCTAAGTACATAGGCACAAATAAACGATAGAGTTAATATGATATACAAATGTAATATCTATAACAGATAAATGAACAGTAAAAAATGTCCCATGGGCTGTCAAGTAAAGGTTTATAAAACGCAATATCTATTTACATATTATTTTACAAATACATCATAAAATAGAATTAATATGTAACGCTGTGACATATTGACGTGTGCCATGAATGCTGACCGCTTGTCTACATTGTTTTTGGTAAACATTTCATTAGATCATGAGAATGTCAAAATGTGTAGAGAATATTATATTCATTAAATACTTTTAAGTGGGCTTACGTCGATTGTGCAGCGGAGGGGGCCCCGATGACCCCGCTCCTTTTTGGGCATAGCCATTATTTGCAATGAATATGCATCGTACACCAAACGCAGGGATTGTTTTACAAATATACATCGTCGAGTGAACACATAATAAATTACATATATTACGAAAAAAAACATACTTATATATATTATCTAGCTAGAACATCGATTTATATCTTTCGGCGAGGGTATATAATAAATAATAACACGCGTAGGTATAGCACGAAACGTATTCTAACGTTTGTGTACGGATGTATATATTGTAATAACGTGAGGGTAATAATAATAATAAAAAAATAAAAATCGATCCTTTTATTTATTTTTCAATAGCACGGTGAATTCCTTTTAGCGCAGGAGTCTGGAGTATGATACTGTTTTAAACCACCCATCGTCGTGCGTTTTAAAAATACACTTTTAAATATCCACAGGACTCTATTATAATGTCACGAACAAAGATGTTTTATTTTGTGTATAGTATCTAGAAGAAAAAAAAATTAGATTTATTTTCACCTCAATACTAGGGCGCGATTATTATTATTATATATTTTAATCGTTTATTTATTACTGACGTTTTGAAACAATACGAACGTGTTTGCGGATCACCTATCTCGATTCGTACAAACTTAATAATAACACGTCGGGATAAAATATGTATATTTCGATTTCGTGGCAGTATATTTTATTCTCGCGGACGACAGTAGATTTTGACGGGTAGGTACCGTATAAATAATACCAAAATAATTTTTGTATTCTTTCCAGATCACACATTTTATGATCACTATTATTATTATTGTTATTATTATTATTATTATTATTATTATTATTATTATTGCACATTTATTTATTTATATTTACTCTGCGAGGGCACAGTGTAAATAAAAAATGGATCCCGATCTTACCCAGAACACATGGATGTAATAAATTTTTCTGAACTCCCCTCCGGCATTATTTTTTTTTGCGTTCGTTTCTCCTCCCACCCCGTTCTTATTCTAAATAAACACCGGTCGTACCTACTACTACTGCTACTTACTCCGATTTTCAATTATGCCTCTGTATCGATCGACCGTTTTCAAAGGTCGATGCGAGAAAAAAAATTTAAAAAAAACTGCAACAATAGGCTGTGTATATAAATTCAATTGCGATTATATCTACAGGTCGTTTATTAAACGCTTCAGATTGTATATATACGTAATGTACAGCTCACCATTACAACACCAGCCAGCATAATAAATGTATAAAATATTATCTATTTGAGTATAACACTATAACCTAATGTCCTGACCGTTATGCAAGCAACGAAATCAATGCGTTCAAAAGAAATTATTATAAAAATAAACGTTCGATCTGAAATACAAACGGATTATAATATTATGTGTGATAATAATGTCCACTTTTTATACTTACCAATAATCCCGACGAGTTATATAATATATTATGTATTTATTTTGCGTACCTGCATTACTAGCATGACTGCAGTCTAAACGAGAAATATAAATAAGTAATATTAACCACAGATAAGCGAAAATGTGTTGGTGATGGATTCAGTGGGTATTTTCACCGAGGATATCATGACGACGTTATAGCATACTAGTTATTATATATGAGTAATGTGTGTATATTAAGTAAAAATGTTAATATTTCATACATTATTCACTATTGGTCTTTATTTGGTTTTGAAACATTTACAAGAAGGCGAAATAATATATTAATTGATAATTATTCGAAAATATTGATTTGTATTTTACTACCAATCATTATATTGTTTTCAAATTCTATTATAAGTGCGTCATTTAAATATTAATCATATTATTACACTATCTCTACCAATTATTCCACGTGCTACTAACTCCATTATAATAATTCAATTTAATATCAAGTACGTAATTTTATAAACAAATCATATAGAGCTTTTTTAAGAATTATTAAAATAATAAATTATAAGTACTCGCTTTGATATTATTAATAATATTAAGAAAAAAACAAAGCATCGCTATTTATTTATACATGTATCTATGTACGGAATAAAGAAACACATATTCTTATACAATGGAGCCTGCTAAAAAAGCGTCATAAATAATATTAAAAACTAAAGTAAACTTTTACCTTTGTTTTAGTTAAATGATAATTAAAAAATAAAATACAATAAAAATACTAATTCCATACTTACGGTTCAAAATGATGATGCTGTCATATCAATTAATCTAAATCCTTTTCTTAAAAGTTCATCTGAAACAATTAAAAATGAAAAATGAGTGACTACAGACCATTTACTTTTATACGTTTAACTTGAAATGACAAAATAAAATGTCTAAAAAAAAGTCATAGGACATGAGTATAGTAAAACATACAATAAATTCTTCAACCCGAGCTAAAATTAATAGTTAAATATTATTTCTCATTTTGAAAGATAATTAATAATGTTGGCACGAAACACAGTATTTTTCTTGACAATTGTCAATATTATAATATTATCACAGCTATAATATTTAACTACCGTCGCCAGTTGTTTATGCCTCATAAATGGAATTTTTTTTTTCTGATCGCTTGGTTAGAAAGTTAGTTTTAATTCATAATGTTTTTCAAAATATGAAGTTAAAAATAATATTTTATCCTAATTAAATGTTGTGACCTATTATTTTTTTTTAAGAATGTTGATAACCACTTTTTATACATTTATTTATATCAATTCAATAGTTTAATAAGTCTTGTTATTAATTATTAGCGTATCAAGTTTAGACGACTGGATAAGTTATTGGAAAACTTTGACAGTCTTACAATTTATTTTTTTACCTTAACACTGAATACTGAAATACACCTCAATATCACTTTAGGTTTAGAACTCCATACTCCATGCACCAGAGTTCTGAAAACACATGATGCTTCAGTATATGCATCCATTCGGAATTAAAACCATGGTTAAAAACAAGTTTATCATGAAATCATAATCAGATTTTTGATGGTACACTGGTATTACTAGACGAGATGGCTAGTACCAGAGTACCAACAAATTAAAAACAAATACCATCGAACTAGATCACACATTTTCCAGAGGTTGTTAAGATATTTTTTACCGGGTCGGTGGTATAAATGCTACCCTTATTCTGGTATTTTTTATTTTACAGGTCACATTTAGACTGTTATAACATGGGGAAAAACCTTTATAAAATCAAATAATTGACTTGTAAAATATTTAAAGTCTGTATTGAGTAAGACTACTGAACATACCTATTTTGTACGGAAGCAGCATTTTAAATATGCTTGGTGGGCGCACACAAAAATATAATTAGTTTTTTTTTAAACTGTTTTGTGATTCAGCTATTAAATTAGGATTGTTTGCACTAAAATTGTGGTATTATATTATGTTTTTCCAAGTGGTTTTTATTTAATCTTCTGTGTAATTACAAAGGTTTAATATTCATCAGATTATAATATCTCAGTGGAACGGTTGTATTATATAATATTTATATGAGCGGAGGTTTGGGGTTGTATGCGCGTATTATCCATCTCGTGTGCCCTATGCCATTTAAGGATTTATTCCGATACATTTATACCATGATACTGGTACCTATGCGGTTATGCTTTTATAATAATTGTTGAAGAATAAGTTGCACGCTTAGGGATTTCATTGCACCTAAATGTGCAATCTATATCTCGACCGGAACCAGTGTTGTAGAGTATTTAAGTTAAATTATTTCAATAAAAGTATTCAAATGCTTTTTAAGTAGATACTCAAATACGTGTCCTAAATACTTTAAAAAAATTAGCTTCCTCCTTGTATTTTAAATGTTTTCTCAAAGTATCAATATTTAAAATCAGACACTAGTTATTATTAAATACATTAATAATTCTTTTTTTTTATACATTTTCTTTTTTAATTTTGTTTGTTGAAATGTGATTTCTTCTTAAAAATAATTCAGAATAATATGTCTAATAAATTCTATTTTTTGTACTGTTAATTAAACTCAACTTAAAATCGAAATATACTCCCACTAAGAAAACACTTCGGTAGAAATAAAAAAAATATAATAAATAATAACAAATTATAGGCTGTGAAATATTATATGCTCTATAAAATTACCACAAAACTTGAAAATCGGTTCAGTTGGTTTAAAAGGTAAAAAAATATTCCATAAAGAATTTGAATGCGTTTGAGAATTTGACTAATAATATTATAGTTGAGAAATACTTATATAGGCAGTTTGCACTGGAATACACGTAAAAAATGTATTTTACAAGACTTAAGAGAACGCATTCGCATTAAAACAATAAAATTACAAAATCTAAAATATTACTGGAAAATATTATAGCAACCGAACACAGATTATGACACTAGAATCAAAAATAATTTTCGTCCAATGTAAAATCGTTTGGATCAATAAATACCAATCTAAAATAAATTTAATGCGATTCAACAACAATAACACACCTATACGCATCGTATTGGACATTAAAACATGAGCGGTTTTTTTCCTTTATTTACGATTTTCACTTCATTATTTCTCGAACCACGACGTCTGCCGCTATTTGATTCGAAATCGACCCGGTTGCAACGACGTGGGTACGCCGTATATTGCCGAGAACAAACTTTCCGACTTTTAAACGGTTTGTCGGCAGACGTGCCAACGTCGGTCGGATCTGCAGCAGAAGACGCAAAGACAATCAGTCTTGAGCGGCGTCAATTTCTATCGAACAACAACAACAACTCGTCACAATCCGCGCATTATTTGATCGGCGGAGCATAGGTACACAAGTTTACGCCGCCGCGCCGCTGTTAATTGCTTTTGCGATTAAGCGGCGCAAACAGAGTTTAAATTAAAACGCACAGCTTTTAAAATAACATAAACTATATTGCACACATATATACGCGGATCCGCGAGTACCGCACCTATATACCTACCCATATTGTTCTGTACTGCCGCCGTCGTTTTACCGAGACGGCGGCGGTGGATATTCATATTATTTACACCTCATACCTGGTTAGGTGATGACCGCCCGGCGTCGTGACCGGATTTCGATAGTCCGCTTTTTTTTTGCGGGGGGAAAAACACCGCTAACACCTCCGCCGCGGACCCTTTTTTTTTTTTTTTGACCGTGTCGACGCGATATCGAAAATCGTTCGCAGTCCCGCTTTGCAACCCCTGCAGAGTCGTCGATATCCGCGAGTACCTGTTCCCTCGGGGCACTCGACATTTATATAAGTGATATAATAAACACCGGTGGTTACGACGCGTATTATATATGATCAACTCGAGACAAACACGGAGCTTATACTTTTATCATATTATTATTATTATTATTATTATTATTATTATTATTATTATTATTATGGTTACACTTGTCAACGCCGCCGGGTTACGGAGCAAATCGAATATCATAATATCACTGTATACGTAGGTATTTTATTTCATTTTTTGTCTTCATTAACATACGCAACAATGAACATTGGTTCCATTTTTTTTTTTTTTTTGTTAGTTAGCTAGTTACAAATTTACAATTTTGTTTAAGAACTTTAAAATGTTTGTGGTGGTGTCCGCGTCAGATCCGAGTGCTGCATCTATAGGGTGTTGGGTGTGTTGAGATTACTAATTTCGTATATACGTATTGGAGGCATTATCTAATATACGTAAGTAATATTTATTATTTATTTATTGTCGGCAAACGGGTATTACAATCTTTTTACTGGATTATTGGACAATTTACAAGTCTTATCACTCAACCCCCCCCCCTATAATTTTTGAGTTTTAACCAACAAACATACGACTAACGGACGTGACTTTTAGAAATTGAATGTCATTTTCTCCGAAATTGGTACTCAACCACAAGCTAGTTAGACCAGCAACTAGTAAAATAATAATAAAAAATGCTTGTAATCTTTCGATCATCTATGAAAATACGAAATTAGTGGGTTCGTATTGAGATTTAACGTATCGTACTATAAGAAATCTCATTGGTAAATTTACAGATGGATAATATATATAGTTACAGGTGGTTCAAATGGGAATCATGAATGGTGCGTAGAATTCTGGCATGACTCCGAGGAACTTTGAAATAGTTTATAAAAGATAAAAGGTACATATAATAGGAGCTGCAATTTTACCACATGGCTAGACATCAACTAGACAGTCTACTATTCAAGGGAATCAGCAACAATGGGTACAACATAGTTAAGTGAAGCACTCGGTAAAAAATAACAGTGAATCTTAGAAACCAACATCGGGCTATTTATATTAAACAAGCTTCGTAAGTGGTATTCGCAGACTCCGCGAATAATAATATTTTAACCTGCACATTCGAGAATTGGACGAACCAACGAGCAATGCAGTGCTTTAACGACTTTTTGAAGTTTTGAATCAGAAGCTGTCCTCATTGCGAAACCGAGCACTTTAAAAGCTTTGTTCCGTTGTTGTTATTTATGTACAGTGTGACTACTCCTCGTGATATTATTAAATTATTATTTATGTTATCGTCGTGAACTCCGCAATCCATCAATACGATGTGGTCTCGCTCGGCGAACGACTGAGCCTACAGTACGATCGAAAACAATTTAATTTTCGACCGACACTCTTATATTATGGTCATTTGTACGTCTATACGGGCGGATACATATTATAATTTATAATGCGCTGCTAGTTCAGAATGGACGTTTATGGTAAGTGTTCAAATTGAAAAAATAATAGAAAGGGGACTCCTGGACTTGAAAAAACTAGCGTCTCTTACAACGATTAAACTCAGCCCGGACCGTTGATTGATAACGCGGTCGTACAACTTTACGAAATTATGATCACGAAATCGCAACATTATTTCAACAGAATAAAATATTCCTTCTACTTTTTCTAATGAGCAAAATTAGAAGGGATGCCCTCAAAATGTAAAAAATTGTAGAGGAGTTCCGTCCCCTTGGGTATCCCCCCCCCCATCATCCCCGCAATTCGAGCACTGATTATAATAGTTTAATGATTTTTTCGAGACTACGAAGCATTATCGCAGTGCAGAAAACACAGTGGACATATTATAATATAAAATGTGACGTTTCAAATAATACAATTCTCAAATAATTATATAAATTCTTTTCGCGCTCTTTTTGTTTTTTTTTCAATTTGCAAGTGGTTTACCGGCGATTACAATACTTCACCACAGTACGTATACGTACCTATATGTGTCGTTTCAAAGTCTTGTTTTCATAAAAAATACTCGTTCGACGTAGGCGCACGGTTCACGCTTCGTCC